TGAGCTATGGAATTGAACTTTGCTCGCAAATTGCAAGCACTCATTTATCTGAGAAGCGCTTACATTTGGTTTTGGTTACAATTATTGTTTGTATCATGACAACTAGCTTGTCATGAGGGACAAGTAGATTGGGTCCCCACTTTAATCCTTTTACAAGTAGTTTGGGTTTTTTTCTTTGTCTTTTTAATTTCCACACACCTGATTATACTGTTGAGGGGCCAATGACCTGCGACTGAGACAGAGCTTTCTGACACTGGGCCGTATGTTTCATTCCTTGATAGTCTAGATAGTGCCAGACACAGCAAAGCAGCCCCAAAACCGGAGCCTACTTTATATTTCACAATAGATACAACGTTCTTTCCTTTAGATGCTTTCATTTTTTGTCTGTGAACCTAGAACTGAAGCAACTTGCCAAAAAACTTCAGTTTTTCTCATCTGTCCAAAGAACATTCTACCAGAGCCATCGAGGCTTGTCAATATGCATTCTTGGTTTGAGCTCACTTTCTTTAAAAAAAGTGACAGATGGTGCGATTACATACTGATTTACCTTGACCGTGGAGTTCAGCTCGTATCTCTGACAGTTTTCCTTGGCTCTTTTTCTAACAGTGCACTATCCTTCTGTTAATCTGGGGTCAATTTTTCTCATGAGGCCACGTCCAGGGAGGTTGGCTACACTTCCATGGGCCTTAAACTTCTTAATATTTGCAGCTGTAGTCACAGGTACATCAAACTGCCTGGAGATGGTCTTATAGACTTCACATTTGACATGATAGTGTATGATTTTCTTTCTGATCTCCTCAGACAACTCTCTCCTTTGCTTTCTCTGGATCATGCTCAGTGTGGTGAACACAATGATATCAAACAGCAGAGTGACTACTTGTCCCCATTTAAATAGGCTGACTGGTTACAAGAGTAAAAAGACATGTATGATACGAATTACAGAAAACAGTTTGAAACATTACTAAAATCCAGTTATTCATAATCATTGTTTGCTACAATTGATGTCTATTAACAAATCTATTGAGGCTCTTTTGGAATATCTTTGTAGAACAAGGAATTTGTATTGCTTTTAACACTTTTACACTATGGAATACCTAAGGCATGTAGGTATACATCAGACAATGGCTTTATATTTCATTGCTTTTCAGGAGGAATGATGCATTATATTTCAATGGTGACAACAATCTGTCTGTGAAACTGGGTGCTAAGAGAAGGGCTGTCCGAGCGTGTTGGATGCCATGAAAGGAGCAGTTGCAGGAACACTGGGTGCTGAGAGAAGAGGGAGAGTTGGCATGGGATTTATGCACTGCAGGTGCAGATGTGTTGAGTGTTGATAGAATGTTATGTGCAGGAGTGGTGGGTATAAATGGAAAGGGAGTGCAGGAGCAAGGTGGGTAGTGATAGGATGGGAGTGGAGGTGTAACGAGTGGTAACAGCAGAGGGGGTGCAGGAGCAGTAGGTGTTAAGGTGGCTAAATGAGATTGCAGGGGGAGGGGAGTTAAGTGTTAGA